AACACCAGTTGAATTACCAGCGACACCGGTGTCTTTCAGCCACTGGGGCCAAGTTAGACGACCCAACGACGTTTATCGGCCCTATCCCAGGGATTCATTGCGCGAGGATGAGATATACGAGCTGGAAGCGAGATGGTTGCCACAAGAGCAATACCGCTGAGTGCGGACTCCTTGTGCTTCGGTCCTGAAGAAATATACTACAATAAAATCGGTTCATTGTTTACTTGAAAGCTTACGAAAATGTGTGCTTTTCGTTCCTCTTGCGGCCGTTCTGCCTGTACAAACAGGAGAGGTCTCACAACTGCTTTGTCCAAGACGAACTCGAAACCTTTCATGCTTTCTCTTCATCAAAGGCAGACGTCGAAGATTAGGCAACGTTGACAGCGAAGGGATCAAATATCGCCAACGCGGCAGTCATCTCCGTTCTTGATCCCTCCGCGATCAACAATATCGTGACACCGCCACCCTTCATGTTCATACACAGCCTTCCAAAATTGTCCCTCATTCCACTGCTGGAAATGCATCTGCCCACAGTGCCCTGGCCCCGCAAAATCGTCCACGACACCGCCTACATTTTTATCCCTTTCGCCTTCGCTGTCTTCTTACTCCTCCTGGGTGGCGCCCTCCTGGTCACCTGGGGCCGGCTATCGAACGCTGTGTTGGTGGGCTTTTGTGTGACAGATGGGATACTCATCGGATTTTTCGTCATATGCCACCTGGCGCTGTATTGTACGTCGCCCAAGGAGAAACTTGGAAACCAGGACAATAAGGAGGTCAGCGGCTTGTCCCCCCACGGAAGCGTCTTGGATGCCGTATCTGTGAAGCTTGGGAGTCCACGGGTATGCCGGAGCTGTCTCGGTGGTCTCTCAGTGCGTGTCCCCGCCGTTGCAACATCCGGTGGCGCTATGGGAATGGGGAGACTTGAGGTAAGTCATGGTCAGATACGCCCCGGTAGAACCGATTTTGGCTAAAGTAAATTACAGCCCGTAGCTGGAGAGACCCCTGGTGCAGATGAGGCAGTTGGAACATCCAAGGATGAGCAGCTTCCACACCAGACTGGACTTGCAGCAGGAAACGAGCCCCAGGACAGGCATTCAGCCCCATCGCCCTCGGTCAGGCAAATCCAACAGGAGCGTCAAGACAGGACGGAAGACGAGCTTCATCTAAGTTTCTCGCAACCAATGAGTCATCTCTCTGCGATGATACCACCATTGAACCTGGGTCAACGCCGCGGAAATTCGGCAAGTGGCTTCTATGCCTTCCAAAATCCCGCCTCTCCGCGGCCTGACTCTAGGGGCGGTCCAGGAATTCTCATCCAACCTCTAACTGAGCACGTCGCCCGTCCTGATCTCGTTACAAACTCAGCACCGAGCCCTGCTGTGGTTAACAACGCTCCACTGAGAGACAGCGCACCATCACAGCCCCAAACGCATACTCGTACGTATGTTCGCTCACGACTTACAACACCCGAACCCTCAAGAAACACACGAGACCGAAACCCACCACCCCTGACGCCTCCACCACGCACCGGCTTCATAGCCCACCAGCGAGCACAGCAAACAGCTCCCAAGATTGGCTCCCCTCTGCGACAGTCCCACCAGTACATTCCATACTGCCCACGGGATGTTGGCCCTCGCTCCTCGAGCCAGATCCGACAGAGCGACAGGCGTGACAGCGAGCAGCTCCCGCATGATCCCATCCGCAACACCACTCAGCGCCGCGCAGACGTTGGTCCTACCACTCTGGCACGTGACCGACGAGCTATACCGGATCACCAGGAGGACGCTCAAGGACCCATGAAGGAGGCTGAGCTGCCCAGCTTTGAAACGCACCTGGTGCGGTTCCACGAACCAGACATGGCGAGGTTGATTGCAGGCGATGTTATCAAGGTGATCCCTGAAAGCCACCCGCCCGAGCTGGTGTGCGCGCCGGGCTTGTCGTCCTCCAAGGCGGACATCGAGATCTTTGAGAATCCTGAGCGGAGGATGGTGGAGATGAGGCGTAGCGTGGATTCGATCCGGCGCAATAGGAGTCGCAAGGCTGAGGTTGAGAAAGCTGGGTGTGTTGGCGAGCGGCGGTATTTCTCCAACGATAGTGGGTACTGCACGGCATCTTCAAGGCTGGTCTCTACGAATCTGTTTGGGCCGATGATTGAGAATCAAGATGAAGGAACCCCTCAGTGCGAACAAGCAGTTCTTCCACCGTCTTGGGGATGGGAGTCATCTGAGTCCTCAGAGGGCGAGAGGAGGAGATTGCGGAGGCAGAACTCAGTGCCAGAGCTTTGTAGCAGATTTCGTATGGGGCGAGAGGGGCGAGAGGATGAGCATGAAGCGGACGACGAGGGGAGTCAAAATTCGTCCAGAGATTAGCGCGTGTGGGACTGCATGGGCCCGGCGAGTATCGTGGCACGGGATGGGACATCTTTCAGAGAAGCATTGAAACTAGAGAGGCTGCAAAGGGTAGTGTATGATTCGAAAACCTCCCCGGATGTGTCGACAAATTGAAAAGAAAAAGCCATGAACAATTAGCTGCTGAATACCATGCAAGGGGAAGTGCCATGGGCGACTTAATTTTGAAAGTGGAGGAACATAACATTGAAATAAAGTTGAGATAGGAGACCAGTCATCTGCATAGGCCCAACTACTACGCGCTCAGCAATCAACATCCTTCGCCGTCGCTAGACTCTGCGACTGCAGAGTCGTCGACCGCTAATGACTTTCTTCCTTCTCTGTACGTCTTAGTGGGCTGACGGTGCTCGAAAACAGGAATCAGTTGCCTGGATGAACCAAGGTCTCACGAGTCTGACTTGAACAGCATCAATATCCACCAAAGCTAGCTCAAGTCTTCATTTCTTTTGTAGACAAGCGCTTGCGGACGAGGAAAGAGACGCTGGTATGAGGTTTGGAAGATTGTATCCTGCCAAGGCCTAATTGTTCGCTAGCCGTATGCGCACCTGCAGCCCAGCTCCTGACCAGGCTGTAAATCATAAAAGACAGAGAGTCATGACACTGCTCAGGCGAGCGGCAGTTGACGACCGAGCAGTCAAGTCTCGTGGACATTCTGCCAGTCTTGCTGGTTATTCTGAGGGTGCTTTACGCGATCACCACGTCTATCTGGCGTCCTCTTTCCAGCTTGTGAAGGTAGATTGCATCTTCTCAGGTGGCATAAATGTGCTGCTTTTTCCTGGTCGAAATGTGCTATATATCAGACAACTTGTTGTCAGTTTCTTCAACATTCGGACAGGGAGGGTCTGAGATCTGTTGTTGCTCTGGAGGCAAAGATGCTGAATTTCATCTGGTATCAAATCCCCAACGCCTTGGTCATGACTGTTCAAATGCAGAACGCCCCGTATGTCTCCCTATCCTCAAAGAATTTCCTCATCCTCGTCGACGGGAGGGGATGCTGCTGGTGCCGCAGCAGCAGAGCTCGATTCATTGACCTTGTTCGTAGTAGCAACCGGCTCGGCCTCTGCCATCTCATCATCCAACTCTTTCACATCCTCCCAATGATCTTTGCTGTTGTCGTCGTCCTCCTCCTCCTCCTCCAAGCCTGCAAACATATTCGTCCCCTTCTTGCCGACTTTGCCAGCCGCGGCATTGATCTCATCCCAGGCCTTCTTCCGCGTCTCTACACGGGAAGCGGAGTATTTGCTCTTCTGCACCTTGGTGGCCGTCCGGTCCACAATCGCCTCGGCCTTCTCCAAGCCCCTCTCGTGTCTCGCTCTTGCGCGTGTGCTCAAGACGGCCTTGCGGCCGCGCTTCGACTTTTTGGTAACACCTGCATTTTGGTGAAGGCCAAGGACAGCGGGCCGCTGGTTGAGGGACTCTGAAGGGGGCTGAACCTCTTTTAATGATTTGTCGGTGTTGATAGAGGGGGATGTTGCGCGGCGGGCTGCACGAGAGTGCAGGGACGGCGCTAAAACAAAACAATGGTCAGTCAAGATGGTCCAAATTTCAATCATGAGCGAGTCTCACCTTTGGCCTTTTTGGTTGTTTGTTTTGCCATTTTTTTTTTTTTGGCTTATTCGTAATGTGGTGAGAGAAGTCAGAAGTTTGTTTAGAGAATCGATCTTGCGTCTTGTCTTGCGCTTATCGATAGAAATTTTGAGTGGGGCAAGCTCCCTGTCGAGCGGATAACATGCAGGCAAGGGGCCTGTGGGCATCTGCTAAGAAGGCCGCGCTTCTCCCCTTCTTCGTATAATTCCGATTCTCTCTCAATTATCATTCCCTCCAGAAATAAAAGAAGAAAAGGAGAAAAAAACCCTGACACCTGATATTCAGCCACCCATTTGAACACTGCAAGTCGTGTTCTGTAATTTCCCGGTTACTGGTCTCTGGTATGATCACTTACTAAAAGTAGGACTCCATCCTCTGGCATTTCATGATTCGCCTGTTCGAGAGGAAGAGACTACAGAATTTACCCACTACAAGAGGGGGCAAGTGACCATAGTCCTGAGCTATGGAGAATGCCAATCCATGTGAGGCTGTTGCTGATGGCATTTCTGGGATCCCATCACCAGGTGATCCAGACCGTGCGCCCACTACGAAACATGAGTTGGCCTTCATTTAGAATGCGTTCACAGATGCACAGTCGACGAGCTATGAATATCAAATTAGATCGAAAATTCTATAACGCTTGCATTTCAGCCTCTATTTTGCGCTGAAGGACTTCATTCAGTTACGAACTAATATCCAACTCTTTTCGTTGAGGAGCACATTGCCATATTCGTACAGGTGGGGCAGATTGGTATAAGATGGTTGGTTGAATGACATGCCCAGGGAGGCAAGGAATCATCATGTTCGATCGGGCAAAAGTTCTCTTGACGACAATAATGGAAGCTCCGTATCATATCTGCTTGCAAATAAGCAGGCGCAAGCTCAAGAAACAAGATGGCAGCTGCTCTGAGAAAGCAAAAGAAAAAAAGAAAAAGCGTATGAGTGCCGCGATTGAGTGACTGCGGTGAGTATAGTGCAGCAAAAATACCACAAAAAAAGATGATTTAGCTGCACAAGGTTTCGATCCTTGGACCTCCGGGTTGCAATTTTATGAGCCCGGCGCCTATGTTTTTATTAGAATTTATTGAATTTCTCAAGGTGTTCAAGTTCACTCACTCTTCCCCTGAGCTATGCAGCTACTGATTTGTTGAAAATTTCGAAATTTGCAATGACTCATATTGGGAAATCTTAATTCGTTTCATGGGTGAGTGTGGATCCTAAAATCTCCGGCTGCCGGACCCCGGTTTGACACGACAATAGTACATGAACAATGAATGAACAATACCAGCTTCTTTATATGATGAGCTTCCATGTATCTGAACAATTCCTTCTTCCTTCTGGTGCTGATACAGATTGAAAGTAAGGAAATGATGGCTGTCTCTTGTCTCCATTTTACAATGGAAATTCTTACACCCACATCATACCTACCTAGGTCCTCCCTTATCCTGCCCTGATGCCAGTTAATGAATCAAAGGGAAGAGTTTCCAGATTTCGCCATGTAATTCGGTACTGTCATATTGGGATCAATACAGAAGAATGGCGGACACTTGTATAGACCCTGACACTGTGAGTGATAATACGCGACTTAGCCATCTTGCAGGCCGGACGGATAGACCTATAATAGATCTGCATTAGTCTTCCATCTCATCATGGTGGCATCTAAATGTATACCTAGGTAATTCGGAAAGCCAACTTGGAACCACGAGAAGGATTCTACCACAGCCTCGCTCAGGCCATGACCAAGAAACTGACTCGGGCGGTCAGGTATGTCTTTGAACTCTGCATACATATACACAGAGACATCCGTTTTCATCCTTCTGTCAAGGGCCTTGTCAGCTTCCACCCCCACGAAATGGTCGTAATTGTAAGGATAGAAAGGCATACACAGGTACGGAATATCTGCCACCCAAAATCAATATTCAGCACCTATCCTCAGGGAACGGCTTCTTGGGGGACATTATCCACAGGAGGACATCGCAAATGGAACGTTACAAACAAGCATCACACACGATTCCGAGACAAACTTGGGTACAAAGCACCGACATACAATATGTTATGGCTCATAGATGTGGCGGCAGGTGCTTCCATGCGGCTGGTCCAAGAGAACATAGGTAGGTAGCTGCGGCCAGTCCACCCGACCACTCTCCACAATACCCAAGACGCCCAAGGTCCCCAGAGTCCTTCGCCGTACCAACCCAGTGGTGTCAATATCGATGTCTTTTGTACAAGAAGCTCCTCCAATATCAGCCTAGCACTGAAAAAGACAAACTCTGGTCACGAGCGACAATTACTTGGACTACGGACCTACCTAAACACTTGGATATGCCAGATATGTCCCAAAATCCAATAAGGAATGCAGGAAATGCACCCGCTCGTGCGAGTCCAGGCCAACCGCAAGAACCTGACGAGCAAGCACAACAGATTCCACACAACCCAGTCAGGGTTATCACCCCACGAACAGCATGGGCACAATTGAACCAACAATATGGTGAATATGGACGGATCCTATCCCTGATTCCTGGCTTATTGGGACCCAATCAACAGATGGTTGGCCACGCAAACGATCAGAATGCCGAGGTGGACAACACCGCCCCACGAGGGGATGCTCAACCAGCCGCCGCTGGCCAACCAAGCACGATGTTCAACCGGCCTAGTGATCCACCCAACTTGGCGCATCATGGACCTCCCCTTGCACAACCTCCTCACCGACCTTTACCAGTAATCCGTCATGTCGTTGCTGAAGTACCACAGCCTGCCCCTCCGCCTCAACCCCAGAGCCAGGGCCACCTTCAGCATGCTCGTGGAATTTACACGTACTCGCAAGTTGGTCGGGTCCTCGAACCCTTATTTCAAAGGGGGTCTCACCACATTGTTCGCATACCACGTTCAAGCATATACGTCTACAATGGCATTCTCGAGCGATGTTGCCACGCAACGAGGATAGGTGGCAACGGAGTAATATACATACTGTTCTGCTGGGAGGAATGTTGCCAAGATCTACGTTCATACGTTGAGATGCCGCCGCCTTTTGTCGAAGAGGAGTGACAGCTTTCCATGCTGTGATCATCAAAGTACCAGCTCTCTCAACTGTCTGCTCACAGTTCTATCGGGGTCTACCATGACGTACAATGGCTCCGACTCCGGCATTCAACATGCGATGGTTCTCATCAAAGGATGTTCCTTGGCGAAACATGGCTTTTGTTAGGCAAAAATAACACGGAGCGGTGATTTGAGAGCTTCTCGGGGCGCTGCAGGTGCTTTGGGGAAATTCGAAGCTGAGAAAACGGCAATCGTCCACGGGGTTTAATCGGTTTCATAGAAGGTGAAGACACAGGTAAACTTAGAAGCACAGGATTTCCGATGAATAAGACGGGTCCCACGGGCTACAAGCAGTGATCCCGAAGTTCATAGAAGTATAAATATTAAAACACAGACATTTTTACATCTGGCGCCCGGTGGCATTAAAAGCCTGTCCGGGGCTCCTTGATCGTCTGCTGAGGACTTGTGAGAGTTCCTATTAGAATGTATCATCGTGTAAAGATATTCGAAGAATGGCCAAATTACGGCAAAGCTGTCGCCTGATAGTTTCCTCTCGAACAAAAAAAGAGACTGAGACATCACCTACTGGAATTCGAATTTTTGTTTTCGTGTGGCGTCAAGACCATTATTTGTGACTCAATCGACTGCTCGAGGTCAGGTCGGGCTTACCTACCTAGGTACACTTACTGATGGACTCTTGTCTCGTTGGTGGAAGGTCAAGAGGTCGAGAAAAATTAAGTGTACATTGGAGGACATTATGACACATCCGAGAATGTTACCTGCCCTAGGTAGGTAATCATGGGTAGATCGATAATGGATTACCATGAAGGGCGTGTTGCGGACGTACGCTTACCTAGGTATTGTCAGTGATGTGGAGTAATTGTCACAGATGATTTATAAGCGGACGATTTACATAAGCTCGAAACACCCTATAAGATGACTTGACGACTCTGCCCCCATCTTCGCCAGCGATAGGATTGTGCCAACAGATGTCCGCAAGAATCGAAAGCATTGCAAGCCATCTCAAAATGACCGCCAAACCAGATATCCACCTCTGTACGATGAGCCAGAGACGGAGCGTTTGCGCGGAGTACTGACCATGCTGCAGACACTGCCGCGACCCCGAACGGGATAAAGGTGTCGATCCTACTTGAGGAGCTCGGCCTTAAGTACCAGGTCAGTCGTACATTTGAATAATATATTCAATCATTTTTCGTCCACTAACCTGCAAGCAGACCTCCAACCTCGATTTCTCCAAAAACGAGCAGAAAGTGGGTCGATCCTGGCTGCGTGCACGCTTCTACTGGGAGTGACGGTCTCGGGGAAACGGCAAGATGAAAGCTGACGGTCGAATAGGAGGATTGGTTTCTCGAAATCAACCCAAATGGCAGAGTGAGTCGTCAACTTCAGAAGGTTTTTCGCGAAGTGGAAGACGAAAGAACTAAACTATTCCCAGATCCCCGCCTTGACCGATAAATTCACTGATGGCTCGACGATTCGCCTGTTCGAGAGTGGCTCGATTATGCAGTACTTGGTGGACAAGTATGATCCAGATCACAAGGTGTCATACCCTTTTGGATCCAAGGAATACTATGAAACCAACAATTGGGTGAGTCTCTGAAGTCGTAGTCCAAGCTTGTCAGGGGTGCTAATAGTCCCAAACAGCTCCACTGGCAGATGGGTGGACGTAAGGAATACCCAGCTCCTATCCCTTTTACAAGGCTTGTGAACGAGACTCGAGAAAGCAGTGCAATTTGCGGACATGATACAGGTCTCCCGATGATAGTAAGGCTGTTGACAGTTGTGTGTTATAGTCGGTCCGATGCAAGGCCAGAGTAATCACTTTACTCGGTACGCCCCGGAGAAGATCCCCTACGGTATATCTCGCTACCAGAACGAGACCCGCCGTCTGTATCGTACGATGGACACAGCCCTCGAGAAGAACCCATCAGGCTTCCTAGTGGGTGATCGTGTCACTATTGCTGACATGGCATGCTGGGGATGGGTCGCGTCGGCCAGTAAGTTGCCCTCTGTGTATTCGATGAACTATAGCCTGTATACTTTTGAGACGAAGCTGATCGATGTATCTCCCGAAAAGAGTGGGCAGGCGTAGACATTGATGAGTTTCCCAGCCTGAAGAAGTGGCTGTTGAAGCTACTGGAGCGCCCTGGATTTGAGAAAGGCCGCCACGTGCCGTCCAGGCATTATGCCTTTGAACTTGCGAAGCTAAGTGAGGAGGAATTGGATGCAAAGGCTGCGGGCCCAAGGGCTTGGGTCCAGCAGGGTATGAAGGCGGACGCGAAGAATTGAGAGCAAGCTAAATTGGGAATTAGGCACTAGGGTGGCAACTATAATAACCCACTCACTCTTTCGACTTAATTCTCAAGGTGGTGTTAAATCTGAATAGCAATTCGTAGCTAGCAACGTTACGTACGGATAGATTGAACAACGTCTGAAGTGGGTGCTGATATCAAGAAGTCAGGCACCTCGTGGTGTTTCCAAATAGCCTCATGCATCACGTCTTCGAATAGCTCACTAACGTAGCATTACACCTCGCTCCGCACATTTTCTCAAACGGCAAAGTATTGCTAAGGTTGTAGAGCGCATTGTCGTCTACCCAATCCCTTCTCAGGTAAGCCCTCTCCAAGGCACCACGATATCGAGGACTCAAGTCAACAATCTCAGCAATAAAATCAGCTTCAGAGAGAACTCGGAGACAAAAATCAAATGCAAAGTCATCCGAAGCAGGGCACCTGCAGTATCGTCACTTATGCTAAGTCACATACCAGGTATGCAGTGTGTTGTGAAATGGGATCCCTTGGTATTATCGAACTTGGCTGTCAAAGGACCTCAGCTTGGTATAGCAGGTGTTTGCTGATGATGGTTGCCAAGAATCTGATTTCTGCTTTATTCGAGACACGGATCGCCAGTTTATAACTTCTACAGAGTTTTTCGATATCAAACAAATACAATCAATGGCTTTCCAGTGATAGTGGGTTTTTAAAAGATGTCTGTGGAGGGTAACAAGACGGCAGCCAGCCGGCCCATGCACCCAAAATAGTCCTGAGCTTGCGACCAGTCCGTTCGATGTGGATCATG